CTATTGACAGTCAGATCATCACATTCAGCCAACTGCATGTTTGCTTTGAAAGCCTTCGTGATCCCTTCTGGATTCATCTGAAACAGACTGAACTAATGGGGAATTCACTTCCTCTCATTGCCTCCCTCACTGCAGTGAAAATCAGCGGTCAAATTTGCGACATGTAGAAACAAAGTAATTAATGCATATGAAAAATCTGAATCTTCAGGGGGGGGGGCTATTCGGACAAGTTCACCACTTTATTCAGACTGTAAGTGTACCCAGCAGCCGCCGGACGCCCTTTTTCTCCATGGCGTACGCGTCGCACAGTCTTGTTCGCTACGTGGTGAGGCATATCGGCTGATCTAGGTTTGACACAGCACCAACTAGTTTTTCACCAGTTTTCAACAGGGGCAAGTGACCACAGTCGGTGGGAAACGCTCTGGCACCGCGCCAAAGCCGCTCCTAAGGCAACGTTCAGACTTCGCGACGGCAGCGCTTGGATCGCGCGTTCGACGCGATCGATGCAGTCGAAAGCATGCGCATCGATCGCGCCGAACACGCGACCGAAGCGCTGCCGTCGCGAAGTCTGAACGCTGATTAACGTGTCCCAGCGTCCGCAGCGAACGAGACCTATCTATCATTCGTGGGAGGGAGTGATTTTGTAGTTCCACTAGTAATTTGATGTCCCACTGTAATGTCGTTCCGAAAGCAACCGGCTAGGAGATCGAAATATTTTTTCCCACTTTGGATTCTATTCTATCTCAGCACGCTCTAAACTGAGTCTTGTTTCGAGCACAGTAAAATATTGGACTCACATAAATGCATTTCTTTGTGAGTCCTTTTTTTGTAAGCATGTAGTCACTTGAAGACCTATCAGACCATTCTCCAGAATAACCAGTAGGAATCATTACCGAGCTATCGCTAGCACCTCCATCTCTTCGATGTAAGTCCAGTACCAACTCTGTAAAATGAAGACTCTCGATTGGTTGTCAGTTCTGTGGCGAGCGATTCGTCAATTTTGAGAGCATAATGAACCTTTTCCCCTCAGGGTACTTAAAAACTCCGGGGACTACGAGAACTTAAAAGGCAGCACACCCAACTCACACTACACGCAGCCTACCAACATCGTCAGGGATTGTGGTGGGTCACTGGTCTTCCTTCCCACGTGATGAGATTTTTCGTCGGCGCGACTCAAACTTCAAAAACTGAAATTTAGCATAGCTACTCTCTTCTTCTGAAACGCGTTGCTGGAAAGGTTGATCGCATATGCGCGATCGATATGACGTACGCTCCGCTTTTAGTGTGATCTAACAGCCGCCAGTTTTTGGGGCAGGAGTTTAGTCTACTTCGTGAGCGGATGATGTGAGGGCGTGTCAGTGGGCGGGCATGGGCAGGGCCGGTCGTCCAGGTTACTGGTTGTGTGCCGAGGATCGTCGCACCGTCGCCGCGCGCGAAACTAGGTCGCCGCGCTGGGAAGTGGGTCACCGCGCGCGGCGATTACATGCTTTAACATGTTTGCATGTTTGAACATGTCTACCTGTTTGGACATGTTCTTGGCAGATGGAAGATGACGAAAGAGTGAGAACGCTTGAAAAGCAAACTGGCGATAGGGTCATATCGATTGAAGCCTGGCAAAATGCCGGAGGTCACGACTCACCGCCCAGCGCTCGAGAACCAAGGTCACGCTACGCGCGCGCGCAGCGAACCAGTTCGCGTGGCGCGGCGATGAGTCCTGACCTGGCATTTTGCCAGCTTCCAATCGATATGACCCTATCGCAGATTGCTTGGGGCGGTCTTTTTTTTCTCATCTTCCACCTGCCAAGAACATGTCCAAACCAGGTTAACAAGTTCATACAAAACATGTTAATGTTAAAGCATGTATTCGCCGCGCGCGGGGATTTAATTTTAAGTTTAGACTTGTCAGGCTGCGTACAGTACACCCCCAGAAATTGTGATTAAATGTGTTGGTCGTAAATGCCACAGCGGGGTTCGGGTTGTGTGGACGATTTAGCGTGGGGTACTGTAAGCTAGCGCGCAGATGCAGGCGTCTGCCGGGAATCGGCAGGGCAAGCTGCCCGAGTGGCTAAACCGCAACAGCCCAGAGGCTTCTGCAAGCGCAGTATTAACAGGAGCTATTAAACGCACCTCAAACTTGGGTAACTAAACCGATTACGGTGCGCCCGATTGTGTGCGTTCACGACGCAACATTTTTAACTTCACGCGCAATTTTGGGGGTACTGTACACAGCCTGACAACCTGAACTTATAATCTTGTCGCGCGGTGGCCCTTTTTCCTAGCGCGGCGACCTAGTTTTCGAGCGCAGGATGAGTCCTGACACTCTCTTGCCATATAGCGGTTCTAATCAACAAGTCGAAAGCAAATTACGAAAACGCCGTGTCTCTCGCCGCGCGCGACGTAGCGGCAAATTACGACCGTGTTGACCGTCTCCCGTCGCAATGTATGAACGTAGACTGATCGCTCCCAGGTGGTACGCTTGTTCCGCCAGTACATCTTCCCGTTCCAAATGATGGAATCGGCGTGATAAGGGAAAAGTTCACATCGTTACGGTACTTCCAAGCGGAAACTCGTCCAAAAATGCCGTCTCCTGTCGACTGTGCGTTCTTACATGCTCGGATCTGCAGGCGGTACTCCGAACAGTTTCGTTTCTAACTTTTCTCCACCTCTGAGCTAGCTATCAAATCGTCATCCGCATGTGAGCCGCACTACGTGCTGCTCATGATACGACCCTTTTATGGGTTGAGCCTAAGTCAACATTCCGAACATACGACGTTGATGAGATGATTCTGGTAACCTGATATAAAGTTTTCTTCGTCTTGGGATCGAACAGAAGTCAAGTGAGCACTGTCTTGCTCACAGTACTCTTCAGCCTCCTTGTATGACAACTTGCTCTTGGAGGTGACTTGATCAGCCCTAACAACCTGGAAATGGCAATGTGTTGAAATGAAGCATGTCACCTGAAATCATGGTATTCCTGCAGATCTTCCAGACTCACCTTGAGCGTCGATTGGTCCTCGTCTTCTAGATCAATCCATTCCTCAAGCGCAGCTTTGTCAATGAGTGATTTGTCAATATAGGCAGCTGAACAAAGAGTCGACAAGATGAGAACGAGGCGAAGAACGCTGGCAGCCATCACAGCAGTTCAACAAAGCAGCAGAAAATGAGACCTATCTTATCTCTACGCTTATATAGCGCTCCTTATCGCATGGCTTATCATCTCTGATACGCAAGTGCTATCGTAACAAACTCGCCGCAACCAGCACGAACATGTTGTATTGTTATTAA